AAGGATGTGGTATAGTGTCCCAGCTGCTTCCTCCTTCGGTGGCGACAGTATAGCCACCCGCTGAAGCCCATCAGCACCAACCACGCAGCCACACCCAGCCCAGCGATAAAGGCTGGCTGGCGGATGACGCTTGTGATCTGCTCTGCTATGCTGAGGTCATCGCCCTTAGTCACGGTCGTTGAAGTCTTCTCAAGCGGGGGAGCTGAAAGAGAAGCGATCCAGTCAATCGAGCCACATGATACACAGCCAAAGCAGAGAGCTGTCAGTCACTTCAGGGTAGAAAAAAAAACAAGCTTTTTAAATGGTTTTGTTTCCTCACATATCATTCAGGTTGAATAAATAGTAAACTGAGTAAATTCTTCTTTTAATGGGCCAGCACAGTCGAGGGGATTAGGATCAAATTGGGGCATTAAAGCACTTGAAAACTGGTTAAACGTGAAGGAAGTTATATTGATTTTATTTGTGGACATACTTCCTGCCTGCACAGACACGCATTAGGAGATGTGCCGGAGACGCCCCAAAGGAACAACAGGTGGAAAGTTACAACTTACAAGCAGTTTATCTTAGCCATCTATAATTAGTCTGCCATCTATAATCCAGTTTTGAGATCCCTTCCCAGATGCCTTAACGCCCACTCACATCTTGGGCCATTTGACCTCAGAAAATAGGGTGGGGCCAGGTTTCACAGTGGATTCACCTGAAACTTTGGCTGTCTGTGACCCACACCCATTTTAACACCTTGGCTTGTGTGATTAGGTAGAGAATCAATAGGAGGTCCATGACCCTCTTGTTGGAAACTCCTATAGGGCTTAAAATCTGTTGCTCTGGTGGAGAGTCCCAAGTTCACTACACATGGTTGCAATTATTTTGGGGTTGTAAATTATCTTTCCCTAGTGTGACTGTATCATAAAACTGTAACTTGTGTTGGTACAGATTAAACAAGACATAGAAGACATGCTAGTTTTTCCACCTTTGGTGTTTTTAGACTTTTTGATAAGCCAAGTTAGATCCAACAGAAGAAGTTAGAAGATCTCACCTAACTTTCATCAATAACTCAAATAGGTAAGTTTCCCATGTTTTCTGTAAAAGGGTTACAAATAAAATAAAAACATTTCAGGAAACACTGGAAGCAAAACATGTTCTTTGGAAGCAACACATCTTCTCTGACTATGTGACTAATATAGCCAAGTAAATTAAAAAGCAGAGCCACAGAGACACAAAACTAAACAAAGTAAATGCCAAACTTATTATGCAATCACAGCTACTGACTCGAATTCGTGACAAACACCCTGCAAAAGTTAGTGTTGGTGATGCACCAGCTTTAATCGTATTCATGCTGCGCAGTCAACTCTCCACATACACATTTTACATGTGGTAAAGTCAGCTTGCAGAGTGCGTCTTGGCATATTTCGGCGTGTGTAGTAACTGTAACAGTTTGACTGACTCACTGAGAAGCAGGCTGACAGGCGGACTCTGAGCGCCCACACCCAGGCTGGTGACAGCAGCCACCATCACGGTGTAACGGACTTCAGGCAGCAGGCCCGTCAGCAGGATGGACAGGACTGCTCCATCCACGGTTCGGTTTATCTGGTTCTCCTGCTCAACGCCGCTGCCCAGACACCAGACCTGAGTGACACCAGAGTTTAAGGTCCTCACAATTTAGGCAACTCGCACATGAAAGTTGCTCTACAATGGTACAAGACTACTATCCATAGGATACAAGCAACAGGTACAAGGAGTGCTTAGTATGTAAAATCTTCCCTTCCAAGGCTTCGCACCACCTCTGCCATAATCCCCACACCTGTCCACATTCATCAACACTGAGTAAAGCTTTTATTTATTCTAAATCTTCTATAGAACATTTGTGATGAAGACACTGGGAGTTACAATGAAAATGTGTCAGGTAATACCGTGCAATATTTTTCTTACGTCAGCCTTTGAGGGCTTGAACAAAATATTGGGTGTATTTCTGAGAAATTGAAATATTTAAGGGGATTAAATATGATCCCTGCCTTTGGCTGATGATCCATCACACATTCAGAAGAATATGGATTCTCATGATCAGACTCATAACTGTCTACGTGTAGACACAAGACAGCGAGAGGGAATCAAAACAATAGTACTCCATGTTCTATTTTGATGTTTTTTTCCACGCTCTGGATAAGCAGCCTGATGATTAGTAATCAGTGTTGCGCTCATTCTAAGAGACAGATAATGAGAACTCTGTGTTTTTTTCCACAGAGCTAACAGATGACAGGGATGGTGACTGTTCAGCCGAGAATCTGATGACACAAAACCGAGCAGCATTGCAAGTACTGGCAACGCATAAAAGGCAATGACTAATTACTAATTGTTCATTAAAATCTGTGTTTTTCACAAGCATCTAAACAACCAAACCTGGGAAACACTGAGTAATGCCTGCACACAGATGCAAATCGAAAGAACAATTTGCTCCCTTTATTCGCTTTACTGACGAGCTTAACAGCAGAAATAAGCACCAGAGAAGAAGACAAACAGTCAAATGTGGCCTCACCTTGTACTCTCTAATTATGCCGCTCTGAATATTATGAGGCGGTGGCTCCCAGGACACGCTGATACTGGTGCTGTTGGTGAGCTGCACCACTGATACAGCCTGTGGAGGGGCACACAAAACTGCAAACAGAGATAAGAAAAAATGAGATGTTACTATAGTTATTAATACATACCAGAGCTGTGATAAGACTGTGTTTACAGGTCCATAATTCCTGCACAATTTCCTGCAAATAACAGATATAATTTATAGAAACTAGAAGAACCTGAAAGAAAATAATCCTTAATTACTTATTTATAAGCACTCTCTATAAGAAATCATACAAATTAAACAGTGTCTTTATTTTTCAAAATTAAGAGGCTATTTCAGAATTTTTGCTAAATTAATTGGAACTCATTCGTTCCTTTGCTGTCGGATAATCTAACTCCACTGGAAAAATACTGTTTTTAAAGGATTTCTTTGCCTCACCTAAAGCACTTGAAACTGTTTAACTAATAAATCCCTCCACACTGATAAATGTGACTAAATATTATAAATAAAAAATAGTTCATAATAAATTAAAGAGCTTTAATCAGTTTTGGAAGGAAACATGTTATTTTACTTTCTTGGCAGCAGTCCTTCGCTTTGCTCAACAAAAGCTGGACACAAGTGGCTTAATCTAGAAATTATGGTTAAAATCACACCTCTAAAGCTCCTAAACTAACATAATACTAACCACATTTTATTAAACCTCTATCTATGAGTTTTTGAGTCTAGGCTAACTATTGTTATTTCCAGTTTCTATGCAAAGCTAAGCTGCTGGCTGTTGCTTCACATCGACTACAAAGAAACAAAAGAGGATTTAACTGGTATCTCAAATTTGTTTAAACGCATATGCTACTGTCCGGTGCATATGTGCAGGTGCAGCAACTGAGTAAAATATAAGACAAAAACAGAGTTTGTAAAACTGTATCAAGCCTGAAAGTCAACATTTGGAATGAAGACCTTTATTCTTCAACACAGCCTGAACTCTGTTAGGCAAGATTTCTTTTAATTTCATTAAGTAGTCTTCTGATTTAATTTCCACACGATTTTGATATGTAGATCAAAATCTGATGGTACTTCCATCCATGTTCATAATTCCATCAATTTTGACAAGATTCCCAACACCACTGGCTGAAATGCAGCCCCAAGTAATGACAGAGCCTCTACAGATTTCTGTCCACATTAACCTCTTTCCTGACATCCTCTGTATAAACTGATGATTTGAACAAAAAATTTGTAAATTTTGGATTCTTTGCTCCATAAGATGTCTCCGCTGGTTTTCAGTTCTTGTGTAATTTGGCACAGCTCAGCCTTTTCTCCTTTTTTCTCTTCCTTAAAAATGGCATTTTGACAGCCATCCTTCCACTGAGACCATTTGGGACGACGCTTCAGCGATCAACTGAAGGTTGAGATGCATTTTCTGGGTCCTATGTCAGGTCTGGATATTTTTTTTCGGTCTCATTAGGACATAGCTTTCAGATACTCTCCCTCTGCTGTAGATCTGTATAGGTTTTTGCAACAGGCCGCTAGTAACCAAGTGCATGAAAATACAGTAAAAAATTGGTTCTTTCCCAAGTTATGTGTCGATACATCGCTGGTTCATTCTTGGAGTTCAGTGCCTTTTTTATGCTTGAATGAGTCAATGAATAAGCGGCTTAATAAGCAAAAAAAAGAAAAAGAAAGTTCCTCTGAACATACTCAGGTACAAGGACTGGACTGAGTTAGAAAGCAGCTAATGTCCAAAGAAAAACTGTGAAAGACCTTAAGAAAGGATTATTAGTCAAGACCACTTAAAAAAAGTACAATAGAGTTTGGCTGCTGTGCAAACATAAAGAACTGTGGGGTGTTTTAAGACTTTTGCACAGTACTGTACTTGCTTACTACTAGTTAGCATTACTTGCTATTGATTAGGTGATTAGGTTATTAATACACATTCCTTACCCTCCTCCGAGGTACGCAGGAGAACCATGAGGCTGTCATGCCCTTGTAACTCATTGAAGTAAGGCCGGATCTTGACCTCGTACTCGGTACCACTGTGCAGATCTGCTAAGATGGTACTGTAGTCAGACGTGGCCTCCACATCTTGGACCAGCCAGGAGCTGCCAATCATTCGATAAAATATACGGTAACCCTGAACGTACCGTGACTGACGGGCAACCTAAAAAAGGTGGAAGACAAAAAGCACAAAAACATGGTCTCACATTTAAATCAGTTATCAAAAGCAGGGAAGCGTAACCAGCGGTTTCTCTACACGTTGATCTATTGGTGTCATATAATGCTGAGCAGAGTTTCTGCAGCTAATGTTTGGAGATTAGCCTGTCCTCCACACATTACAAGCTGACTTTGAAACCCATCAGTATTAATCTCACACTCCAAGAAATCTTGGCGCTCGTAGGAGACAGAACCATCGGCTTCTGCAGGTAGACAGACACCTCTCCCAGCTCTCTCTGCACCTGTCTGTGGTCCACTCCCTGTTCAGTCGGACTCCCATCTAAGACAGCAAAGAAATCTAATCAGTCCAGCCTGGCAACGTGAAAACAAAACAGCTGAATAGCAGAAATTCAGCAAAAGCAGGGAACAACTTTTTGATGAAATTCAACATTGCTCCCGGCAGAAGAGCATCACACTGAGAAAGCAATTAGTTTTGAGACTGCACATGCAAAGCAAGTTTTATTTTTCCAAAGCATGTAGCACATTATCTCTGCCTCAGCTCTACATCCAGTATCTAAAATATACTGCCTCATGGAAACTGAAACCAAGACTGAACTGTGAATAATATAATGAAAAACATTACATCAAAAAATGATTTTTTTTTCTTTTATTTTATGTAACTCACCCTGTGTCCTGACAGGCTCGGAGATCGGACTGGGGTCGCTGAGGCCGTACGAGTTGACTGCTCTGACGATAAAGAGATAAACGGTGTTGGGGAAGAGTCCGACAACAGTGTGCCTCTCCTGCTTCACATGGTCCGCTACGGTCTGCCAGGTACTGCCCACTGATTGGCTGCAAGATGGATAACGTCAAAGAAAAGACTATCTTAAAATTGAATTTCTTGTGATGAAGATCTGACTGTCAGAGTGAACGACTGAGATCAAAACAAGAGTGTGTGAACATGACTTAAATGGTAGGTCAAGGTCAAGTCTTTATCGGGAGCGTGTTTGCTGCCTGAAAGAGTTTGGATAGCTGCATGTAAAGTTGGTGTGAGGACTACAATAAACAGCTTCAAGAGATGCTTCTTTTCTCTCTCGTTATCTGTTGTGTTACCATGAGATAACAAGGTAATGGGCTTGATCACAGCTCTTCTGCTCATGCCCTAATTGCACAGACAGATGAAAGTAGAGATGCCAGGAGAGATCTGAATTTTGCATATTTAGGAAATATGGCAACTGCAGTTACAATAGTCACCCTCATTAAGGGATAAATATTTTTTTTAATCTTGCGAGCATAAGAAAATGAAGTGTGATATCTCAAAGTAAGAATAGAAATAACCCAGAGAAAGAAAGCTATAAATATGAGCCATAGCTGTTTTTTTCTCTCCTTAATTAAATGGTAAATTATTTTGTCAGAAGAAAAAAAATAACAAAAATGCAAAAAAAAAAAGTTAAATCTCTTTTAAGCAGTTTCATATCTATTTTTTTTTCAAGATATACTTTAGATACACTTATTTTATTAAGTACACCTATTCTTAAAAATATCCAATTAGCCAATCACAAAGCAGTAAGTAAAAGCTGTTCTGCATGGAGATAAGGTCAAGATGATGTGCTAAGGTTCAAGCGAAACAACAGAATGAGGAAGAAAGGTGATATAAGTGACCTTAAATATCGTATGCTTGTTGGTGCCAGACGAGCTGGGATTACTATTGTTTTTCAGGGAATGGTCTGAAGAAGATAAAATATGTAGTAAGCGGCAGTTCTCTACGTGAAAATATCTTGCTGATGTCAGAGATCACAGGGTAACAGCCAGAGTGCCAACACTAACTCAAATAAACACTTGTTACAACCAAGGTATGCAGAAGTGCCTCTCTGAACATTGAAGCAGATTAGCTGCAGCAGCAGAAGACCACAGCAGGTTAAACTACTGCTAAAAAAAACCAGGAAATTAAAGTGGACAAAAATGAGTAGATAAGTGGTGTTTGGGTCTCAGTTTCTCCTGCAACATTTGGATGGTAGGGACAGAATTTTACATAAATATCATGACAGGACTGATCATCCTGCCTTGTACTGTATCAGTGGTTCAGGCTGCTGCTGGTGGCCCCTTAGTACCAACTGAACATTGTTTAAACACCACTGCCTGAGCACTGTCACTACCCTTGTCCAACAGGAGATTTGTTCTGCAGTGACTGCGTGACGCTATCATGTCAATAAGGACCAAAATCTCAGGGGAATGTTCCCAGCACCGTGTACAATCTCTGCCATGAAGAATTAAGGCAGTTCTGAAGGCAACATGGGATCTTAAGTGCATTTCTTTACAGTGCTGCAGTGGTTAGCACTGATGGCTCACAGCAAAGTGGTTCTGTGTTTGAATCTGTGTGGTTTGCATGTGCTTACTCCAGCTTCCTCCCACAGTAAAATGACACACGTTAGGTTAATCGATGAATAAAACTGCAAGTATGACTGTGAAGGGTTGTCTGTGTCTGTATTTTAATCCTATGATAGACTGCCCAGGGAGGACCCCGACTATCACCCAATGACAACTGGGATAGGCTCCAACCCCCCTCCCCCGTGATATTTAAAATGGAAAACAGTGAAAATTTTCTTTTAATCTCCTAAAAAGAAAACTAAAATAGAAAACTGACACCACAGTCTTAATGCAAATCAGTGCTAATCTTCTTCTGGCTGCAGCCCCATATTAAATGAACAGATATCAATCTTCTCGCTTGACGCTCAGCAGGCACGTGAACAAGAAATGTTTCAGCAGCCTCTGTTGAACGAGCAAACAAATTAAAGAAATCACCAGTCGCTTCTTGGATTCATGAGTTTCTGTTCATTGGAAGAAAAAAAAAAACCCTCATAGCTGCTTCTCTCAGCTTGCTAACAAAGTTTTATTCCGTCTTTAATTGCAGCAGGTTATAATGATGACTACTGAATGAGCCCGGCGAGGATACAACAGCTTTATGCTGTGCAGGTACGGGCACTATCAAGCAGCATGAGTGCAGTTTAACATTTTCCTCAACTCCATGGAGGAGGAAATGGCGAGGCAATTACATCAAGCAGGTCACAGCTTTTTCTCCTTTCTTCTGTGCCTTTTTTCTCAACAAATGTTCTCCAGAGAAACAGTTTTGCCATTTTTTTTAATGGTTTTTTTTGGTTTTGTTTTCAGTGAAAAAGGAAAATGTAACTGCTACATTTATATAGTAAATACTCCATCTAGATTGCCTCCCTTTTAAAATCAAAAACATAACTCTTGCTATGTTTGGTATAAAAAGGCATACTGCAATCATAAAAGTGTTTCTTTCTTTGTTCCTTCTGATCCACAAAAACAAACAACTCATTGGAGTTGGAGCGTGTAGCACTGAATGGATCTTTATCAGCTCTGTGTGCAAGTGTGCCCGACTGAGCTTTCTGCCTGCACAGAAAGAAATATATGCGTGCTCGTGTGCGTGCATGTTTGTGTCTATACACTTTTTCTGTACCCCCCGTCCTGTTTCTATAATGAGTGAACTTCCAGCTCGGCTCACATCCCCTCCTGCGATTGCCCCAGGACAGGACAGAGCTGCCAAGCTGACCACTGCAGTAATTGTCTCTTCTTTCACTCTCCCTGTCTCGCTCAGGACTCTAGTTGGTTATTAGGGCTGCTATGGCTCTCCTCGGAAAAGCCGCGGCTAAACACTGATGTGGTGGGTTTCACTTTGCAACGTGTGGTAACAGAAGTGTCTCTCCCTCAGGCAGAGATGAGTCATTTCCAAAGTCTAATGAGTCTAAATGAAGAAGACTTCATTATCTGGGAAGAGTCAGTCAGACAGTGAGACCTTTATCAAGGGTGGAAGTCGAGGCTGCCTGTTTAACTTTAAGTCAGGAAGACAGTATATTAAGGTAATAAATAAATTAAGTAGATAAAATTCAAAAAACAAAATAATATGTGTTCTACTGCAGCTCCTTTCAGTTTGTCCTTGTTTGTGGGTCTCTCTGCCATTGAAGAGTTTCCCATTTCTCCATTTGAATTTGCCTGAATCTGAGCACAGAGTATAGCCCTGTGTCCATCACCTGTATCCATCCTGCTACTTTGGTCAGCAGTCACATCATCAATAAACACTAGTGATCCAGTTTCACTGTTAGCCATACACGCCCATGACATTGCCTCCACTATGTTTGACAGGTGATGTCACGCCGGATCGTGACCTGTTCTCTCTTTTGCCATTTTTTTCTTTTCCCCTCATTCTGGTTCATTTGAATTTCTTAGAAAGGTTTGTTGTCTTTTGAAATATTTAGTCTAACCTCTGGCTTGAACCTTGTTGTAAACTCTTTGTATTTCCATTCATGAAGGCGTCTTTTGGTTGTCAGCAATGATAAAGCTACCACATCGAAAGTGTTTGTAATTTGTTTTGGTTTTTTCTTAACCATGGAAATAATTCTGTCATCACTCATTTTAGCTGTCTTTAGTGATTTGTGACAGAAGGATAGCAGCAAGTGTTAAAGGGAAGGTTAACAAGATGGTAATAAGACCGTCTATGATGTATGATTTGGAGACAGGAGGCCAAGCTGGAGGTGGCATAGTTGATTTTTCTTAGGCGTGACCGGGATGACAAGTGAGTACATCAGAGGAACAGCTCAGCTCACCTCAGCGGTTGGAAGACAAAGTTAGAGGGGCAATGCTCAGATGGTTTGGACATGTGCAGAGGGGAATAATGGATATATTTGACAAAGGATGTTGCATATGGAGCTATCATGCAGGAGGAAGAGGAAGACCACAAAGAAGATTTATGCATACAGTAAAATGGACATGCAGAGCGCTGGGTGTTGGGGACAGGGAGGGAGATTATCTGCTGTGACGACCTCGAAAGGAAGCAGCCGTAAGAAAAAGAAGTTGATTTGGACACTCCAAAAGTTTTTGCTGTCTCTAATTGTTTATTTTGGGTGGGTGGGGGTCAGGTTCCATCCAGTAATAGCCTTAACTTGCACTAAAATCTCTTCGGGCCTCATAATCCAAATTACAGACAAATGTAGAAAATACAAATATAATTACACTTTTAATCAACTTCACATGACTTCATTTGCCACGAAGTAACAAGGGAACAGGCCTCACTTTGCCATGAAACTGCTCGTCAGTGCAGTTAATCGTGTGCCTCTGAAAACTGGGGACTCTGTATATGAAAATGTGTGTAACTACTAAACAGTTTTTGTGAAACCTTTTGAATTAAAGCTGAAAGTCTGTATTTCTACCACATATTTGTTTGATTAAAAATCCATTATAGTGGAGTGCAGAGGCAAAGCTACCAGTATATGGATTTAGAGCTTTAAAACACATTTCACCAGTTACACTTGTTAAAGCGTCTGGTAGCACCAGTAGTTTTTCATGGTCTTTCTTCATCTTCTATTAATGACATTCTGACTCAATATAGACCTGACCTCAGCAAGTCAACGTGTGACCATTACTGGACAAAACATAAAAAAGCATAAAAACCTTTCAGCAGTTTTTTTTTTTCAAAGAGGACTGAGTGTGAAAAAGATTTCTGCCTTTCCTCTGATTTGAGGCTTTAGAAAATCTAACCCATGATGAGAGACTTTGGTCGGTCATGTTTCTTTTCAGACCAGATTTAGTGAAGGGTACAAATAGAGACAAGAAGAAGAAGTGGAAATGGTTAAGCAGAGGAAATTCACCATTATTAAGGGTTTAAATCTATGTACAGCAAAGCAAGAAGTTATTAATAAGCTTTACTACTGTAACACATTTTTAAAAAGCTTTGTCTTGTTTTACATTTGACCAGAGCTTTGTTTTTGCATTTAGTTTACTGTGGATGGATGGATGGATGGTTAGCCTGTATTTGCTGTGATCTAGAAATGTCAGATAAACTGAGACAAGTCCACAAAAGACTGAAAAACTAAAGTATGCTCCTGTTTTGAAAACTCACCTGAAGGCTTCGATAATGTAGGAGGTGACAGCGGCCCCGCCTTCATGGGGATTGGACTGCCAGGTGAGGGTGACTGTGTTTTTGGTCACCTCCGTTATAACAGGCTTCTGTGGAGGTCCTGGAAGCTGGATGAACTCAGAAGCTCTGGACACTGAAGAACCTCCATCTTTCATTACAGAAACACACAAAAAAATAATTACATCATATCAGTGGTTTAGTTTGATTAACATTTTATCTCAAACTGTACTTTGTCTTTGTGGAGGCTACAGATTGTGCTCCTATGAAGAACACTGGCAGACTAAACAGTTTCTTGGGAAAGGAGGTGTAGTTGAGGAGTGACAGAGTGTGAAGTGTAACAGACAGAGAGACTGTGGCGAGTTTCAGTCTAAGTACCTCTGACAGTCAACATCCCACTCCAGCTCGACTCTCCTGTGGTGCTGGAAACCACGCACGTGTACATACCCGAGTCCGTGTCCTGTTAAACAGCAGTCAGCATTTGAGACAGACTTTAAAAAAATAACACAATAAATGCCACACACTTTCACTTTTTCAGCAATTTTTGCTCATTTTCACTTTATGCTTCTACTCCACTAGACTTTTACGACATGTCAAAAAGCAGTTTTATACATAGAAGAAGTTGTATAAGGCATGAGCTAGCCATAGCATCCACCACAGCAGTAGTGAAGTAAATCAAAAATAAAGAAGCTAAGCCTGCAAGCTAGTTCAGGCAGCTCGAGTTGCACAGCTTTTCATACATCACACACCAAACTCATCCTCCCTTATTGGTTTGTTTAAGCTGTAAATGTAGCGTGTCACTGCTGCTACCTCGCATCATTACCTGCTCTTTCAAACCCTTCACCACCCCTACATCCACCTGTAAGCTCCAAGGGTGATTCATACTCATCTCTGCCCTGTTGCTACATGTAAATACTGCAGGGAGCGAGGAGCTTGCAGACAGCACGCTCTAACTGTTGCTACGGGCCTGCTGTGATTTTGACCTTGGCGCTGTGTCTTGTTCTTTCTTCAGTAGTAGATGCCACCCACTTTCGTGCAACTGACTCTACTCAGCTATTGAGCCAAAGTACTTAAGACCAGAGAGAAGAGAGCTCCAGTGCCAGAGAGGCTTTTTTGGTTTTGAAGCTCGTGAGCTGTTTGTGTTGTTGGTCATTAACCTTTTTATTTTGCGCTTTTGTTTAGTGACCACCTCCTGGGCTTTGCTATGTTTCTCTTCTTTTGAATTGGATAGCAGCTCGTCCATCTCTGTCTGTTTAATTATTAATCAAAAGCTTTACTTTCATATTTTGCCTTCATCTCTCTTTCATCAACACTTTTTTTGTAACTTTACCTTTTTAGGGGAATGTAACACTATAATGAAGCTTATGTGTGAGTAATATCAGTAATCACTCATCTGCTTGCTTTCCTGGGTCTATTACATCACTTCCTCTTTCCCACAGTGTCAAATTCAATACCAGCATTGCTATAGTCCATTTAGTCCAATCGTTTTCTTGCATGTCTCTTAAGAGCCAATTATGTCTCTGTCAGCGTACTTTAAATCTCAGCGATCTTCTGTCACTCTGCCTTTCAGGCCCTTGCAGCCCACCTCCTCCTCCCCCATCTCTGCCTCACCCTGGTCACTCAGCGCCCCATCCACGCCTCCATCTTCATCTTCACCCTCAGCTATACTCTAGTGGAGTCCTATCATAATTCCTATCATTGTTCGGATAAACCATCCTGCTGTGATGGTTTATCAGAGTCTAATCGCCAAACAGCTTGTTAATCAAATTCTGTATCTTAATAAAACATGTTCATTTTTTTCCAAGTGACCTCTCTTTATCTAACTTATTACAGCTTAAAAGGAAAGACTTAAACAGTTTTAACTTTGATGCAATTTTGAATCTAATCTACCAAATTTGAGCCAACAAAGTCAAAAATTAATCAAAAGTAACATTCAGCCACTATAAATATATTTTTTCTTTTCATGAATAAAATGAATAAATGTAATTTTGCATTTTAATCAATAAATAACAATGTGCTTTCCTATAATTATATATAAGATAATAATAATAATCTATATATAAGAAATTAGATTATTATGGTAATTATATTTTAGCAAAATGTCATTTTGTGTGTTCTGGCAGACTAACTATTACAGAAACATGAAAAGAATGATTTTGATGGCATAAACCTTACACTGAATTTGCTAAACATTTTATGTCAGTAACAATTTTTACCTTGACTATTTAATTCATCAAGAGTTGATGTGCAACTTGAGTGTTACTGAGCAGTAAATATTTAGCTATCTCTCACTTGAGAAAGCATTAGTTCTTAATAGATAAGAAATCGAGAGTTTAAACAACTTTAGTTAATGTGTTATGTGTCTCTCTTTGGGGCCGTATCAAGAAGAGCATCTGGCGGGAAAATCTGCCAAATCAAACATGCAGAACTACCCGCTGTGGCGACCCCTTACAAATGAGGGAGCAGCTGAAAGTAGCTTTAGCTTTAATTAGAACAACTTTAGCAATTAATAGTTTTGCATCACGACAAAATGATCATAAATAATGGCTACAGTGATTGTTGTTGGTGTAATAGTGTTTATTTGCTTATGTGATGAAAATAGTAGTGATTAATTATATATTGCTTGTGCATTGGCTCCGTGCAGTAGTGCTTTATGCATCTGCCAACCAAGTTAAAGATCTGTGATCTGATTTTGGGTGGAGACACAAATCCTTGTGGGGAAGGGCATCTGTCATTAGAATCCGCCAAATCAAACAGGCACCTGCTGTGATGACCCCTTGTGAATAAGGGAGCAGCCAAAAGAAGCATTATATGCTGTGTTGTGTCCGACATCAACTATTAAAAGACTGTGATTAAATTCTGATGACATCAGAATAACAAGATATCTTATGTAGGATGTATTTATTTAAGATTAATAGATGTTAGCAAAAGTTTTTACTGAGCAGCGCGATCACTGTAACTCCTGCGATGTTAAATGCTGCCACGTAGTCAAAACCGCTGCAGTCTTTATTCTTCTTTGGCTTTAGTCCTGCGATACAAGCAGAGAACTTTTAACGCAAACAGTTCCTAAGTCTGATCAAGAGGTTGGTGCCTAAATCTGACCAAACAGCGAACAAAAACCAAAGTGATTGAAAGCTAAACTAAAGAATGAGCGAAAAACGCAGAAACCACGGTCTCCGGGACCTCCTAGGTGACCCCAACTGCCCACTTATATGCTCTTTCAGTTGATGCAATAATTTATTGCAAATGATAGTTGCCTGACTGAAATTTCATAATGATGTCCATTCGATGCTCTGTGAAGAGCAGTTCTATAATTATACACAGAATATTAATGTCCTTGAGAGGGCTGCTTCATTTAAACCCAGATAATTATTCTTTCATTGTTAATGCTGTATTTCTCACATAATGTGCTGTTTTTCTGCGAGGTGAGCTGACCCTCCGCTGGAAATCATTACAGCAATTGTGCCAGTGGACCAGCTGAGTCTAATTAGTACCAAAATATAAATGCAGATCTTTCTACCAGTTGTTTTGACATTTTTGTGAGCAAACTATTAAGTGTCTCACTTCAGCCTGCAAAAGCATTTAAATCAGAAGCGAGCAGTAAACAACTCATACGTGTCGTTATATTAGCGATGACATTATAAACGCATACAACACGCTTCTCTGTGATTTCTGCAACCATCGGTTATCTGGAGGTGTCTGCCATTTGGTGCATTTTCACTGACAACGAGTGCGAGATGCTGATGAGAGCAGTGAGACGCAACCAGCACAGTTAACACAGTGAAAGACACCCAAAAAAAGATTATCTTCAGAGTTGAGTGCAGCTGCAGAATAAGGTGATAATTTTAATAAATTTCAGCTCCGTCACAAGAGCCAGCCTTTCTCACAGCATGCACAGACATTTGAATTATCGTCAAGATAAAAACACGATAATGCCGCTGACAAATTTAAAATGCTAGACCTGCTTGCAACTGTTGTTCAGCTTTAAGCTCCTACGCTTCAATAAATTATTCAAAAGGCATATTTAAAAGTTTGCTACAAAAAAGCAAAAACACGTTTTAAAAAATATTTAAAAAATGTAAAAATTGGCACTTGTATCTTTAAGCTCCAGGTGAAACTGGACCCAATTAAGCAGCCATGTTTGTGCAATTAAATGCAAGCCACGCACACTCCATCCACATTAAGCAACTGTCACCGAGCGACACTACGCCCCACTCGACCTTCTTTTTATGTTATGAAGTGTACAGTATGTGCCTGCATGCTTCACTGATACGCTTGCTGTTCGCTCTGGCCGTGTCCTGGCTGAGAGCCAGTCTGCTGGAACTATCCTCAGACCGTATGAGATCATCCACCGCAGTGTTGACCTCTGGCTGACAGACCGCACAGCTTGTGGGCAGGTGAACTTCTTTAGATGACTTCAACTACAGCTAAAATATTGATGGTGGGTTGGGCAGCAGCAGGGTAAATATTTTTAGTCCCTCACTCATCATCTCCGTGTCCCCATTTTTTCCCCCTTTGTCAACCCCTTGATGCCACACTAATGCATCTCTTCTGTTCCATTGAGCACATTGGCATGGCAGATTTCCCCTGCCTCAGCGGTGCACCGGACCAAACCTTAATGCTCCAAGTTAGCTGAGCACCACTGCTGAGAAAAAGGATGAAGAAGGACGTGAATAAGCACATTCCAGCCAGGAGATTTAATTAAAAGCCAGTTAGATGATGAATCATCTATCGCCAGTCAATTAATGTAAATGATGCTGCCTTTGCTCTGTCCTGCACAGGCTCGCTGACCTCCAGGTGAGGTTATAGCACAAAGGGGTTTCTGACTGCTCTTCCATCAAAGCAGAACACATTAGCATTTACAAACAAGCACCTTCATTAACATTACAATTACACACCGCATGAGCACATAATTACACTGGAGAGATACGCACCGCCTTAGAGAGATTGGTCTTTTTAACTCAGACTCACTTTAATTTTACAAACAGAAATGGAATTGCTGATGGAAATGAGGAAGAAATGGGTTACTATGAGGGCTGCGGGGAAGGTGACAGACGGTCAGAGATCACACAGGTATTTTATTCTCCAGAGTTTTTTTTATATATATAATTTCCATCTTTCCGTGCACACTCCATCTTTCCTTCCGCTCCTGCCTTTCAGAAGTCGCTTGTTACGTGCCCTTTCCAACAAATGCCTCATCCGCACACACCCAAACACATACACACCTTTACGTCTGCGATTTGCAACGTGCCATTTTCCATCAAGGTCAGTCGAGGTGTATTTCCCTGAAGTCTCTCTCCGTCCTTCTCCCATGAAATCTCGACTGAGGTACCTCCATTTACACGGCAATACAGCTGTGCCGTTGCACCCCGAGATACGGTCTGATTGGCTGGGCCTTGGCGAATGATTGGCGGGATACGACCCGAAGGACCTGCCAGTTTGAGTGAAGAAGAGGCGGGATATTATGTTAGGGGTGATATCCTTGTTCCAATTAGATCACAGTGCAGAAAAGTCAAGAGGGACAGATAACATTAGGAAGGCATATAAAAGGTCTGCAGGAAGGACGACTTTATAAAGTCGCCAGCAGCTGGACAGCAAAGGGTAAAAATACTTAAGATGCTTAGTAAGCAGAAAACAATAGGCTGTATAAGGAGTAAAAGAAAGCTTAAATCTGGTGCTTACAAGCTGCCTGTGGGAAAACATTAAGCCTTCAATTCATTGCTCATCCAGCATGGGGTCTCTAACTGCACACCGTCTCTGTCTGTATGAGCCTCATTGTTGTGCAACCACTAAGTAATTAATATGTTTTCCCCTCATTAGCTGATGGTGCAGAACAAAGAATCAACCCCCCAGGTTTAAAAGTAACTGTACCTATTGAGGTCTTACCTCCCTCCACCTCCAGCAGTGCCTTGGTCAGAACACTTCCTGCAACACTGATGGCCTGGCAGATATAAAAGCCCGAGTCCTCTGGGTGGACATCTGTGATGGTCAGCTCTCCACTCATGGAAACAGAGTAACGACCAGACTGGGAAGGCGGCTGGCCAGGGAACAACAACATCTAAACAGAAAAATGCATGCAGCAAAAAGTAAATCAATGTTTTTATTATCAAATCATTTACCTCAGCTATTTGAGTAAGTTTATAGAAAAGGAAATAGGACTAGAACAATTTCAGTCGCAATTTCCTGCAGCTCAAATTGGCTGTTTGAAATGGCTGGTTGTGTCCAAGGAAAACTTTAATGTGGACCCAAATAAAACTGAAAAACAAAGCCAAAGTGTCATATTTAAAAGGCTATGTTCAATTCCCAGAAATCCACTCATCAAAAGCATATGTTTTATTTTTAGATCAGTGTGTGGAAGCTTCATTCTTTCTCTTTGAGTCATGCACAAAAGCATGTACCGCAGTTCAGATTTTTCTTTTGCCAATGTTCTTCTCATACACTCCAGGACAACCTCACTAACGTTGCCAAATAAGTAAAAAAACAAACACACACACACACTGATATCCCACTCCTCACCCTGTGCACCACATTCAGGCTTGGACACATCAAGACTTATATCGCTCCACATTTTAGATTTTGGAGAACTCTATAAATAGCAGCACATTTGAAAGTGAACCAGAGATGCTGATGGAGGTGACCTTGAAGTGGAGCACTGGCCACATTTAAGTCACGTAAGATTTAAGAGCTTCACCAGTGGTGGTGGATGGCCTCCCTTTCCTGAGTCTGTTTTTGCCGGGCTTTCTTCCTGTTAAAGTGAGTTTTTCCTTCCCATGGTCACCAAGTGCTTCCTCATAGGGGGGGTCATCGGATTGTTGGTGTTTTCTCTGTATTATTATAAGTGTGCCTCGAAGCCACTGTTGTTGTGAATTAATGGAATCAAATTGAATTCAAAATGAATTTATGATCCCACTTTAAATGAATAACTCATGGACTCAAGTCCCTGAAAAATATTACAGATATTCATGTGCAGCTCCAGATTAGTTATTATTATTTAGTGATCCTGTAACCTCTCATGCATCACCACCATAAGATCAAAATGAAATTTGTCGCCTTGCCTAATGAATAAAAACCTGCAAAGCTAATGACATTCCCATCAGACTCAGCTCTGCTTGTACTTTTACTGCTAATTAGTACGTTTTCCATTAATTACATCCTCCCAGAGATGAGCTGTGGAGCCTTACTTTTAGTTGATGAATTGTGTAAAGAATTAATAAATCATTAAAGTAAAACTGTTGTCAAATTAGTTTTGACACATTATTTTACATGTTTCCACCCAAATCCGGGGCTCAAACTATTAACTTCTAATGATAATCTCCCATTTGAAAAAAGAAAAAACCCTGAAAGACTCTGGTTGTTGTGTTGTTTTTTTTGGGGGGGATGATGCCTGTGAAACTGACATTTTATAGCTATCCCATCTTGTTTTCCTGTAAGTGAGATGGATGGGAACCAGGGGGAGGGATGCATCAATCCATTCAGCCATCCATTTCATTCCTCTAAGAGGCTTAGACTCCAGTGGAGGGACCGAGGTTATAAGGGTACAGATAATCCCACATATACAGCAAAAAGCCCTACAAACAGCCAAGCAAGGCATCAACCTATCCTGCCGACTGAAGCTTATTCACAAAATCAGTAGCTCAACTTCCTGTTTGCTCTGTGGAACCTTTCCGAAAACACCTGAAGCTTCTCCTCCACTCCTGAGTCAGTGAACGCAGCTGCCATTAAGCAACATGGCATTTGTGGTCAGGAATAATGTGGAAGGAGGGCAGCATTCGTCTGCAATCCTGGCCTGAAGAAGCAATTTCCACACCTGGTGTGCTTCCTGCAAGCCCTCCTTCAGTCTCTTCTACTTTCTCTTCCCTCTCCCGTCGACCCCCCCAAACCAGTGTGGCACGCAAACAGGAGAAAGATTTTTCGCCAACGCAATACTGCAATGTCTTCCAACACTTTGTCTCTGCGCATATCTCTGAGCCAAATGCAAATGTGCTGCATTATCTCGCTCGCCTCTCGCTTATTTCGCCTGGAAAAATGTGTCTTGATCAGTGTGGGCAACTCTAAAAAAGAGGTGTCAGAAAAAGTACGATTAAATCAGACAAAAAAACCTGCTCACATTGTGGTGAGTCGTTCTCGCCTTTTAAACAAAGAAGGTGTGAAACTCTTGGCTATTGATGTGATAAAGAACACTTGAAGTAAAGTTTACAAAGAATGCGCCAAGTGCTCATGAAGAGCAATCCCGGGCTTGTTAGGGGAGCAAATGTATTTATATTCACTCATTTAGTGTCCTGGATGTCTCTGCTGCTGCAGTATTTAGCATTAGAGAGCGCCTTGTGCTTTGCTCCAGCCTCTTACCTGGCTGCCCTCTTTCTGCCAGAATATGGCAGGTGGAGGGTTTCCCGTGGTGCCGCATTGGAAGGTGATGCTCCTCCCCTGGGTGGCAATCTGGTCTCGGGGCTTTGTAGCAATCTGAGGTGGTACTGGAAGAGAAGGAGGAGTGTGACCACCCATTAAAAGTCATACTTGTGCATGAAATGGCCTGCTTTATGAACGCTCCCTTTCTGCTGAAAAGCCAACCCAATTTTCTCCTCTATAATTTATCAGTGGGAAAATGTTCATTTAATTTGAATGGGAAGGAACCATTCTGAATCCAATATGGCAAACCATTTTAAAGACGCCAACACTATAGCAACAAGATTCCTTACTTCCCCCTTTTCCTTAGGAATGCAAACACAGCAAAATGGTAGTTTCTTACTCTTTGTGCCATCCATAAGGGCCCATACTTGCTGATTCGCTGTATTCGGCACATTATTTTCACAGCAGCAAACAAACTGCTTCTAAGCAGTTGTAGCTGCTTGAACCAGTTTTAAATATATATTCGATTTGGAAGCCAGGATGAGAAACTGCCAAAGAGGAACTCTCTGAAGACCTAAGTTGCTTAATGAAGCAGGAAGGAAGCAAACAGTTGTCAAGTAAATGTAGTGAAGTAAAATAAAGTCATATAATAAAGTGGATCTATAAAACGTAATGATATTGAAATACCGAACGTCTCTCGGTTTAGTTATTTTCCAAAACCGCTGTTAACCCCGAGCTGGATCGCTAAAGCGCTCATTAGCTCTTAACGAGTGAGATTTAAGAGTCTTTTCTTTGACCTTCTGAGTTTTTTTGATCTGTTGCTACATACTCATCATCATCGCCCTCTCGTCCTTAATGAGAAAAATCACCTCCATGTCCTCTTAAAGAGAAAAAATGGGGGGCGGGGGGGATGAAAGAAAATCATGGCAGCAAAAGCCAGCGTCATTCTGATGACATTTACTGAGTTATTTTGGGAAAGGTCTGAGAAGAGCTGCCAATTTCCAGCTTGGGTCAGATCACCATGTTATCCACATCATCACATCCTCTGTAGATTTACACTGACCACTGCATTCTGCCCCCGCCTGAATAATTGGCTCTCACTTCCCACCCAATGAGAAGCTTCTCTAGCCTGGATGCATCCTCTCTACAAATCTCTGCATAGTGCATATGGTGCATATGTAGCTGCACACACAAACACACACACACACACACACACACTCGTATTAGGGCGCACAAATGCATATTTGGCTCAATACACAAGAGAACTGAGTCATCTGTGTCGTGTCTTAATATCCTCACCGAGAGCATTTTCCCAGCCGCAGAACATCTTTTATCATTCTAGTGTTGTGATGATCTTTCTGTGAAGTTTTTTTTTCTCTTTCTTCAGATGTTATAATGTCTTTCAGCAGATCTGATGTGTTAGTCACATATAGCACAAGATTGCTCTCATTTATTTCATATTCACTTTGGTGCTACTTTTGGCTGTTTTTTTATCATGGAGTCTTAAAGTGACTCTAAACCATTTTAAAGATTTTATGTAGATTTTGAATAAGATTTGCAATGTATATCAGTTTAATTCTGTAAGTCCTGTTTTAGTTAGAAGTCTAGCAGCTGGTGCAAAGTAGTCCGTCTGGGAGAAAGGATATTGGGAATATGAGCTCTTGGCTTTATGTCCCAATTAGAGATTTAACTGTGTGTTACTGTTGTCTAGCTGAAACATGATAGTTCAACTGATTTAAATCTATTTTTAAATCTCTAGCACTGTGTTGCCAGCCAGCTTGTTGGTGCAAAAATTCTATTTTATGCCTGTCAGTCTTTGCTATCTTTGCCATTTTTCCTAAATTCACATAAAGATATGAGAAGACGTAATGTGTTTTTGCAGCAGGTTGCAAGCAGCAAAGTGCCTAAAGATACTATTTAAAATCTTTTTTCTTCAAAATCTCTGTGCAGACATGTTGTTGGTTTCCTTGAGTTTGGTGCCTTTTTCTGCGCTTAAATGATTCATACGTCCGTGTTAAGGTGCTTCTTTCTTGGTCAGTTCCAAGGACTGGGCTGAAAATGATTGAAAAATCAACCAGTGTCTAAAGAAAACCCTTGAATGACCTTCAGAAAGCCTGGAGAACTGATGCACAAGACCACTTTCAAAATATTACAGGAAAATCTGGCTCTTTCAAAGCAAAATATAAAGACATGAAGGGTACCTTTTGCAAGTACTGTGTGTCCTTTACTGGGGTTTTATGAAGCAGAATTAAGAAGGTGAGTTTGATCTGGACCTGATTTATTGAGAAAATAAGCCTAATGATGTCGTATTGATGCCATCAGTCTTATCCTGACTAAAGGCTAAATTAGAAGCTTACACAAAAAAACAAATTCATAAAAAAGTTGGAATTTGAGGAGTATTACATCAATGTAATTATAGTTTGTGGAGTATTCCTTTATAAATGCATTATGGGAAATGTTGGCAACATTGTTTTTGAAGCTTGACCTAAATTAGGCGCTTGACAAAAGCACAATAAATATCAAGGTAATTTTGATCTTGATGGTCAAAAGCTTGATGCATCTCCACCAAACATATTGCTAGTACTAAGTCTAATGATAGAATATTAGTTTAAGTGCTCTGTAATAAGGGATGAGGTCAAATACGTTGTTATTTCAGCCTCAGTTTAGTTGTAATTAAAAGCCTTTCAGCTGCATTTTGAACTCCTCCAGCTGCAAAAGAGAGAAGGATTTAGAAATTATGGTGCCACACTCTTCTCAACACAGCAGATGTGTGTTTGATAGGAGTCCTTAATCTGCTGTACATTAAGTCACTGTGTCTGGGGCTTACTTAATGCCTGACTGCAGCAACAGGCATGTTGTCAACATGTCAGTACCTAATGGAGGAACTCATTTACACCATTAGGCATTTATAGTTGCTTTTAAAAACCATTAAGAACGTCATACAGAAAATATTTTTTTTCTAGACAAATGAGCAACATAAATGCCCTTCTGTGGAGAAGAATTAGATGGAAAGTGAACTCACAGAGCCGGCCGACCGGAATGATGATAGAGTTTGAAACACGACGGAGAGAGATGGAGAATTAATGAGATGGATGAAACGCTGAGCAACTAAACGGAAAGTATAGCATGTAAAAGCACAAAGAAACAAAACAGAAAAGTGTGAACAGAAAACCGCTTGGTTTGGATTTCATTTACACTGAAAAAGGCATTAGCGGATGAAGTTGTCTGAGACTATTTAAACCAAGACACCGAGTGAGTGAAAAGGACGAGGAGGGAGGAGGGAGATAAAGAGACAGGAAGAGAGGAGGTGGGGGGAGTCATGTCTTATTAATATTGAGACTGCTCTCTGGCAGTGAGTTAACCCACACATCTACCAAACATCTGTCAAATGGCGTAATCCATACGGTTTAGCATAAGCTCCTGGCAGCACCGCTGGACAGGGACTGATATAACACAGTGAGCGTTGGACATCAAGTGGGAACAGGCTTTGCATGATGCAGCTGCCATGTGACGCTACCTTATACGTGAAAATGGCCCTGAATTGAGAGCTTTTTTTTATGCATGTCTAAGTGTGTGTGTGTGTGTGTGAGTTTGTATACAATATGCATGATGTGCTTCTCACCGTGCACCTGCAGCATGGCTGAAGCCTCCGTCTTGCCCACACTGTTCTCTGATGTGCAGGTATACGTCCCTTCATCCTGCTCTTTCACGCGGAACAAACGGAGGTTGTTGCCGTTGCGGATTTCAAACCTGTGAATAAAAAGCGAGTTAATGAAAGATCTGGCGGATGCATAGCAAAATAAATAAATAAGTAACCATACTAATCTCCACAAAGTGAAAAATTCTGCCAGTGGTTTGGGGTAATGGAATTTCTTGTCCTTAGAAGGATTTCTTTGCTATCAGGTGGCATTATCTTGAAACCGGTGGAACAATGTGTCTTATCTGCTTTAGATATTGTCACAGGCTCCAGGAAAATGACTGAAACTGATGAAAATCAATTAGAAAGAAATGAGATTACCTCAACACATCGAAGGATTTTTCACTTGGTTTTGTACGGGCAGTAGATTAAATATAAAGAATTATTTATATTATGTACAGTGTAACTCTCTTTGTCTACGCAAGGCGTACAATTACTGAAACACAAAGAGTAAAATCTGCTTAAATTCCAGTTATTTCATGGATCAGTGAGCAACCGAAGAAAGACATGAAATGGAAAAAGATGAAAGACAGGTAAAAGTCAAAGATAAAAGACAGAAAAGCTCTTTGCAAACATGAAACAACAATCTTCATCATCCTGTCGCCAAGTGGACAAATAAACTCTTACACCGCAGTCACTGTGACTTTGCTTTTTGTGCAGGTTTTGCCAAAATTGTTCAGGACATACATTTAAGCATTTGGTCTCCCATTAATGGATAATACTGTATATGGACACGTTTAATGAGACATATATGAGTAGCATTTTAAAATGTTTCTATAAAGACTCTTACACCAGGCTTATGTAGGGATCACCAAGTTTAAAGTAAGACTTCCCAATTCACAGAAAAATCAGCCAAAGAACTGTCATACTTAATATGAATATTTATTCATTTATGAAATATTACCGACTATCACATTTTGCTACAATCCCCAGTGTGTGCAGGTCATGTTCAATATAAGAATATAATAATTAATAAATCAAGGGCCATATGTTTGACACAGTTTTGTGAAACTGTTGGAAAATAGTCAAAGCCAGTTAGCTTTCCCCCATTTCCAGTAACACATCCCTTTAGCGGCTGCTATCACAAGCTTCAAATTAAGCTGTAATCTGTAAAAGACTCTAACAGCAGCAGCCATTGTGGAGCAGGACGGCATTAACTCACTAAATTGAAAATAAGTAAGTAAAATTATATCTACATAAAATATGAAAATTCTTTATGGGAAGTTCATATCTCTGCTGTTTAAGTCATTAAGCTGTTAAGTTTCAAAATAATAGAATTATTTATCAGTTTTGGCTAAAAATGATTATTATAGCGCCATTACTATAAGAAAGCATGAAACTTCTCTCCATAAAATTCTTTCAGTCTTTTCATTTTTTATGAAATTTTGAAACAAGATGTGACTAAAG